AAATTACCATGAGCATTACAAGTAAGAATACACTGCAAAAAAATTTAAAGAGTTAAAAGTACAATCATGAAAAGCAGTGTGCTCCAAGGATGATTTTCAGTCCGTGAACTCTTTGTTTCTGGCCCATGGCGAGTTAAATACAAAAAATTGAAAGTAAGCATTTAGAAACTATTACAGATATTTGACAAAGTAATTTTATGTCTGTTGAACCAAATAATAAAAGATTTGGGCTTGTATTTTGTATGTCTGGTGTTTTCCTTCATCTTCCAGTAATTCATTTTCATTGTATTTTACAAAGGACAAGAAAAACCTGTCCTTCAGTACACATAGTTTGAGAAGCATTGATAAAAGGTATTATTATTTCTGAAATTTTGCTTAAGAACCACTAAATGTCTAATTATAAAGTAGTCAGAAATCATTATTTGAGAAACACTGTTTCATACCAAGTAGTTGCCAGCACACAAGCAAGTTCCAGAACAAGTGTGTTTTGTATTGAGTAACTTGGTTATTTGGTAATCAGAAACCACTTTCCCCAGGAAACAAACAGAAACCAGGGTTATGTTCTTGGTGTAGCCTATACGTCCTAGTTATCTCGAAAGATAGCTAAACTATGCTATACGATGTAATAACCAGTATAACATTCTTACAATGGTTTCTGATGTCCAGTTAGAAAATATGCCTCATCCCAATCCCCATGTGAAGAATGACAATTCCAGCCCTAGCATGGTGATGGGGCTAGGGGTAAAGACAGATACTACTTCTGCAAAAGTTGCTTTGACAGCAACATTCAGAAAGAGAAAGAATATGGAGGAAGAAGATTCCTCACACAGATTATTGGGGGAACTCACTGGTGATGTTGATAAAGTTAAAATGAGATTTCCATTTTTCTGATTCTCTGAGGGAGAGCTTAGGTAGGTTTTGGTGGACGCAAAAGCCCTGGTTCATTATCACAAATTCTTCCGTGCTAAACCCCAGAGCATTGTTCCCCCTGATCGCCCAGCACCAAGATGGCAAATAGGTTTCATCCTGAACTAAAATCTGAACTGAAATCTATTCCCAAACTCAGGGATTCTTATTTCCCTTTTGTTGTTGTTCTAAAAAATTGTGAGGACAAGTCTGGGTATGATGAGATACTTTGCCAAAATCATTAGTGATACCTACCATAGGCCAGAGAAGAAAGGAAAGTCAGCACAAAAGCTGGTTTTTGTTGTTGTTGTTGTTTTTGCTATCCTGAGACTAGCCTAAATGAGGCAGACCTCCAACTCTTTAACGTCAGCTAAAACCAGACTGAAGAACATGACTATTAAGAACATGATTTTCAGAACTCTCCTCCCCAAATCTACAGAATATACATTCTTCTCAGCACCACATCACACCTACTCTAAAATTGACCACATAATTGGAAGTAAATTACTCCTCAGCAAATGCAAACAAACAGAAATAATAACAACCAGTATCTCAGTCCACAGTGCAATCAAATTAGAATTCATAGTATTCTCTGTTTAATAAATGGTTTGGGGAAAACTGGCTAGCAATGTACAGAAAGCAGAAACTGGACTCCTTCCTGACACCTTACACTAAAATTAACTCCAGATGGATTAAAGACTTAAACATAAGACCTAACACCATAAAAATCCTAGAAGAAAACCTAGGCAAAACCATTCAGAACATAGGCATAGGCAAGGACTTCATGACTAAAACACCAAAAGCATTGGCAACAAAAGCCAAAATAGACAAATGGGAGGGACCTAATTAAACTCCAGAGCTTCTGTACAGCCAAAGAAATAGTCATTAGAGGCAATCAACTGAATGGGAAAAAATTTTTGCAATCTACCCATCTGACAAAGGAGGAAAACCAGAATCTACAAAGAACTAAAGCAGATTTACAAGGAAAAAAAAAAACAACCTATTCAAAAGGGGGCGAAGGATATGAACAGACAGCTTTCAAAAGAAGACATTTATGAGGCCAACAAACATATGAAAAAGTGCTCATCATCACTCATCATTAGAGAAATGCAAATCAAAACCACATTGAGATACCATCTCATGCCAGGTAGAATGGCAATCAGTAAAAAATCTGGAGACAACAGATGCTGGAGAGGATGTGGAGAAATACGAACACTTTTACATTATTGGTGGGAGTGTAAATTAGTTCAACCATTGTGGAAGACAGTGTGGCGATTCCTCAAGGATCTAGTAAAAGAAATTCCATTTGACCCAGCAATCCCATTACTGGTTATATACCCAAAGGATTATAAATCATTCAATTTTAAAGACACATGCACACATATGTTTATTGTGGTACTGTTTACAATAGCAAAGACCTGGAACCAACCCAAATGCGCATCGATGATAGACTGGACAAGGAAAATGTGGCACATATACACCATGAAATATTATGCAGCCATAAAAGACAATGAGTTTGTGTCCTTTGTAGGGACATGGATAAATCTGGAAACCATCATTCTCAGCAAACTGACAGAAGAACAGAAAATCAAACACCACATGTTCTCACTCATAGGTCGGTATCGAACAATAAGAACACATGGACACAGGGAGGGGAGCATCACACACTGGGGTACGTTGGGGGGGGCAAGGGAGGGACAGTGGTGGGGTGGGGGGAGCTTGGGGAGAGATAATATGGGTAGAAATGCCAGATATGGGTGACAGGGGGATGGATGCAGCAAACCGCCTTGCCATGTATGTACCTATGCAACAATCCTGCATGATCTGCACATGTACCCCAGAACCTAAAGTACAATAATAAAAAAAAAGAATATGACTCTTTTCTCTTTTTAAAAAAATTGGGAATAGCAAAAGGGAAATAGACATAGAGAATAGGACACATCTAAATATCCTTATTTGCCATCTGTATGGTTTTCCCATTTTGTGGAACCTGTGGAAAGACACCGTAGCCTGGCTCCTAATCCAGAATCCACGAGGCATAGTTGTATATACTTCCGTTGGGGCCTAAGAGATTAAGAGAGAAGCCCAGGCAATAGTCCAGGGCCCTCTGCTTTAGGTCTTCCTTCTAAATTCTGATTCTTTAATTTTTTTTTTTTTTTTTTTTGTAGAGATGGGTTCTCCCTATGTTGCCCACAATGCTCTCTAACTCCCCACCTCAAGTGATCCCATCACCTGGGCCTTTCAAAGTGCTGAGATTATAGGTAAGAGCTGCCTTGCCTGGACTAAATTCTGGTTTTGTATCTGAGGCTTTTCTCTTACTCAATGATTGACACCAAAAATAGTCCTAGAAAGGAGATTCCACCCTTATCTAAACAGTCATAGCCTTCGCCTATGTCAGAGTTCTTAACCCAGTAGTCCACTGATAGTTCAGAGGGATTAATGACCTTGGATAAGAAAAGAAAAATCTTGATTTCAATTGGAATTTAGCATTTTCTTCAATTACAAAACTAGGAGTCAAACCTGAGAAGCATTTGCAGTACTCATCACTGTTACTAATGGAAATAATATTTTCATTATTTCATTTCAGTTGTTGCCAGTATCTTGAAAAAACATTTGCATTCCTCATTATTTAAAAGAATGTGACTAGATCTTGTTATTTAATATGTTAAATAATGTTGCACACATTACCTTACCATATTGCTATGGTACAAATTAATTTTTTTAATATTTTAACAATTACATTTCAGTTGTTGATCTTTAATTTTGAAGCTAAGACAAAATTAATGTAAGTAGAAGAATTTATTTGGGCCAAGTTTCAGTACTGCAACCTAGGAGCACAGATTCAAGTTTCCCTAAATATACACTCTGATTAGCAGCAGTTACACATAGGTTTTTAAGGGGAAGGAAGAGGCAGTTCCTAAATTCTTCACATTAAAATAACATAAGCTGTGGTTTGGTTGTACTTTCTTGATATCATAAATTCCAGGAATATGAAGATAATGGATGGGACAGCTACTCGGCAACAAAATGACTTTAGACAATTGTTCCGGGCATGGGTGTTGGGGCATGACTTAAGTCCCATACTCATGTCATTTTGGGCCTGATAAATTTGGCATACCTCACAAAGCTCAGACTGCTCTTATTTTTTTTCCTTACAATGTCATTGATTTTCTTTGCAATCTATGCATTTTATTCATTTTTTAAAAAATTTTATTTCTTTTCTTTCTTTTTTTCATGAACCACACAGGAGAAAATCCATGCATTTTATTGTAAGCATTTATAAACATTATCTGAGACGGTATCTATAGGCTTACCACTGCCAGAAGGGTCCACAACACAAAAAAGGTAATGCCTCCTGGGCTTTCAAAGGAGAGCCCTTTACTTCCCTTTCTACCATCCAGTATAATCCAATATTCCTTAGGACTGAAGCAGAGTTACACAGGCACAGAGGTAGAGAGGTCTGGTTTTTTTTTCTTTCTTTTTGGTGAGAGGCAGGTGGGAAATTGGCATCTACTTTTATTTACTGGTTGTTTATAAAACTGATGTTTGTTGAAAATTGTCAAGTGTGGCCATTTCTGCCTACATATTGTAGGGTGGCAATTAAATACTAAAAACTTATTTCAGGTGTACTCATTTATTGTAATGGTATCAATCTTAATGGGTAGGTTTCACTTAATACTTTTAAAATTGTATTTTAAATTATTATTTCATCTTATGGTTGTTAACAGTAAAAAAGGAAAAGAAAAAAATCTACACTTCTTCCCATTGAGTTTGGATGACACACACACACACACACACACACACACACACACACACACACACACAGCTATGTGTAATGGTGTGTGCCTGCGGTCTCAGCTACTGAAGAGGCCGAGGCTGGAGGATCCCTTGAGTCCAGGAGGTCCAGACTGCACACAGCGAGACACTGTATCAAAAAAAAAAAAAAAAAAAAGTATTAAGGGACACAGGATGTTTATTTCTTTGCAAGTACATCCTGTTATAAAAAGTAGTGATTCCAATGTGAAATATTTACAAGACAACAGCCCAGTATTTCCCCGCCTTCTTTTGGGGTACCCCCTAGTCCCCCAGAATAAGCTTTCTATGGAAGTTTTTCATTGGAATAGCGAGTGAGAAATGTATTTGAAGACGAGGGAAATGAGAAAGGTATGCGGGCTGCTAGGGAGTTTCGGGTGAGTTGTTTGGAAAGGATGTGAAGGAATTCAAAGTTTTACTTCAGGAGCCTAAAGCAAGGCGTGTCAGGGCCGTCCCGAAGGTAACTGGGGAAATAGGTTTGTGGAGACAAAGCCCAGGGTCAGGCCCAGGGCGGAGCCTCCGCGGCCCGGGACGCAGGACTCGGCCTGAGCCGAGGACTGGGCGGAGCGCGGGCGGCACCGCCAAGCCGGAAAGATGGCACCGCCCACGGAGCTGCCGGCCAGGCCCGAGCGAGGCGGCGCGCCCGGCTCCCGCGCCATGGGGCGGCTGGTGGCTGTGGGCTTGCTGGGGATCGCGCTGGCCCTCCTGGGCGAGAGGCTGGTGGCACTCAGGTAGGTGGGACTCCCGCGCACCCCTCCTCGCCGGTCCCCAGGCTGGAGGTGGCCGCGTGGTGCGGGGAGGGCGCAGGCTGGGGGAGGGATTCCTGCGGGATCAGGCACTGCGGCCGGGGTGGAGAATTTTTGACTGCTGTCTGTCCCCCAGCTAGTTGAACCCCCACTCGCCGCTTCTAGTGAAAAAACCAGCTAAGTTTGGAGTGAATCGCGACACTTTCTTGAAAGTTTATAAGGCCTTGCTGCTAACAAAGTTATCTTCTGCTTAGGCTGACAAAAGAATGCTTTGCAATTACTTAAGGGCCAAACTAGGGGTTTTAACTTGAAAACAAAACGACTACTCATGCATTAAAACTTTAATTATGAAGATTTATTTCAGGTCATTGGTGCTGCTTCTCCTTGTTGCCCAAACTAGCCCCGTCTTTAATAAAGTTCTTCTCCGCCCCTTTCCGCATAGTTTGAGAAACTCTTCAGCTGTAGATCAAAGATACTTGAAATATTCAGCTAATATTCTTAAGTTACTTCCTGTGTATTCACCGGGAAACCCTGAAGCCAGAATACCGAACAGTGCAGGCACTATTCCATCTTGCATTTTAGTTTTAATGAAAAATCTCTGGTAGGTAAACATAATAGTTTATAAATTACCAATATTTTATTTTTTGTAGAGATGGGGGTCTTGCTATATTGCCCAGGTTGGTCCCTAACTTTTGAGCTCAAGCAATCCTCTGCCTAGGCCTCCCACAGTGCTGGGATTGCATAAGCTGTTCTGTCCGGCCTCAACCAAAATTTTATAGGCCTCATGCAAATGAGTTCCAGAAATACTGGGCACTGCTATGTGATGTGCTCTTTTAGGCTCCTGTAGTAGAGTACAACCCTTATGGAGTTTAATACAGGGGAGGAGAGAAATAAAATACAGTAAATGTATGAATTAGGATGTCCTAAGGACAGGCACAAAAGAACCCCATAGGCTTAAAGAGGAAAGACTACATCCCCTGGAGGTGGAATTCCAGAGGGAGGAAGAGACATTCGACTTGACCTTGAAGGGTGGGTGCAACACATATGGGCCTGAAGGGGGCATGCCAAATACATAGTGCAGCAGGAGCAAAGGGGGTAAGGTGGGAAGCTGGAAGACTAGCAAATGGGCCAATTTGAAGGGAGCATAAAGTCAAGAGATGAGACTAGTAGGGTGGGGGGAAAGGATAGGTTTTGAGGCCATTAAATATAAGTTGAAAATAGGGCCCTACTTTGATAGGCTCAATACTCCTTCAAAAGTGAAATATTGGTGGTGTTTGTTTTGTTTTTCAACAAGAGCTTAATATAACTAGTTGTGTTTTATAGAGATAAGCCTGGAAGGGTGGATCGAAGTAGAGCAATGGTTCTCCCTACGTTAGAATCTCCTGGAGGGCCTGGTGTCTAGGTGGCAACATCAAAGATTCCGATTCAGCTGGTCTGGATCAGAATCTACAGCTCACACCTGTAATCCCAGTGCTGTCAGAGGCCTAGGCCGGAGGATTGCTTGAACCCAGGAATTAGCAACAGGCCTGGGCAACATAACAAGATCCCATCTCTACAAAAAATATAATTAAATTAAAATCGAGTTGGTAATTTATAAACTATGATATCTGCCTACCGGAGATTTTTCATTATAACTAAAATATGATATGAAATAATGCCTGCACCATTTCAGATTTCCCTGATAAATAGATAAATAAGGAAGCGATGTAAGAACACTGGCTGACAGTAGCAGTCGTATTTTTAAAAACTCTCCTGATAATTCTAATGAGCAGTCAGGGTTGAGAACTACTAGAATAGAGAGTGGACATGGGGAAACTGGTTAAAGTATTGCAGTAAGTTACAGGGGCTAACAGGGACCCAAACTCTGGAACACCAGGGATGAGGGAGAAGTCAAAGGTGCTACCACAGTCTGTGTGACAGACCCACTGTCGCATGGTGGTAGTTTCATCTACTGATAAAGCAATGCAAAGAGGAACAGTGGTGGCTGAGGTGGGAGTTAGGGTTGAGGAAAGAATGCTTGTGGGTAGGAAATGGACATATTGACCTTAATTTTCACGTTAGGTAATGCCCAGCCTGCTCTGCAGAACATTCATGAGTTGGATGTCTTTGTATGATTGTCTGGCTCTCCATTTCAAAGGCAAGACCACAAATATTCACAAGTTCATTATGTTGTTATTAATGTATAAATCACCAGTTTTTCTGCAAGTTGCAAGTTTTCTCAATTAACAGTCAAATTTTTCCCCTTCTAACTAATCTTAAGGTTTTATATTAAAGTTATAGTTGCAAATCTAAAAAAAAAGAAAAAGTTAATAAAACTTATTGACAGAATGCTCCTGATAATTTATTTACAGGTTTTTGTTTATTTGGTTTTTGTTTTCATTTTTTCAGACAAGGTCATGCTCTGCCACCCAAGCCAGAGTACAGTAGTACAGTCAAAGCTCACTGCAACCTCAAACTCCTGGGTACAAGCAGTCCTCCCTTCTCAGCCTCCTGAGTAGCTGGGACTACAGATATGTGCTAATATTTTTATTTCTTGTAGGGACAGGGTCTCACTTTGTTGCCTAGGCTAATCTCAAACTCTTGGCTTCAAGTGATGCTCCTGCCTCAGCCTCCCAAAGTGGTAGGATTACACGCATGAGCCACCACCCTCGGCTTCCTTTACAGTTTGATGCAACTTTTCTTTATATGATTGTGATATGCTTTATTAGGCAGTGACTTTATAAAGTGGTAACATTATGGGATATGTGAAGCCCCAAATGGCCTGATATGAGAATGTTGGAGTAGATGGTGGGGTTGCTGGATTTAGCAAAGAAAAATATAGGCTACCCAGTTAACTTTGAATTTCAGATAGATAATTTTTTTTTTTTTTTAAGTATAAGCATGGAATACTTATATCATACTTTTAGCATAAGCATGTAATTTGGGACATAATTATACTAAAATATCATTCATTGTTTGTCTCAAAATTTAACTGGGTACCCTGTATTTTATCATATGGTTGAGCGACTTCTGTTTAGAGTTTGGTGACCCTTAGAGTCTATTTTAAAAAGAAGCATGTTCAGGTGGGTGCGGTGGCTCATGCCTGTAATCCCAGCATTTTGGAAGGCTGAGGTGGGCAGATAACTAGAGGTCAGGAGTTCGAGACCATTCTGGCCAACATGGTGAAACCCTGTCTCTAATAAAAA